CCACATTTGTCGCTCGCTGTTGGGACTGAACCAAAGCACCAACCGAAGAAGTCATTCTGTGAAACTGACAATACAGTGTAACGGGTTGGAATGCCGTAGAAATGTCTTTTCCCTCCGAGTGTATCAGCCTTGTAACTCACTCCAAACTTATGCCGTCTCAGCCCCCATTGTAACAATCTTTAAATCACGAATTGACGACTCTTTGTCCACTTAGCATTTCCTTTTCTAACTTGTATTAGTCAAGGGGTTACAAAACGCAGTTTAACGGTGTGTTTCCAAAATTCCAACCAGTGAATCTATGGATTTGTACTTTTATCACGCTATCATCTTAGCTCCTCTACACACGTCCATGTCATTTGGAGTGCCGTTAGAATTTCGTTTCCACACGTGTTTGTTAAGTGTGTAATACCCTACCGGAATCTGTCATCCGTGCTACTACGCTGGTAGAGTTCAAAGCTCGAGTTGACGGTGCGGTCACTTCGTTGCACCATCTCACATGACTCGGCCCCCATGGCTAAACACAAGAGCCTGTTGGAGATTTCACTGCCGAGTAGCTCCCAGGATACTTTCCAACTTTTTCACCTCCTGTGTGTGTCCACCAGAAAGTGACACGATTTATACCAACGTTCCATATTCCATCATTTTTATGGATTTACAATGCGTCTAGAGTTTATAATACGTATACCAAGGTGAGTTCACAAGTTTGAAACTACTATTACTGATACATTTCCATATTTTTCATTTTCACCGTGACCAACCTACAGGACCTGTTAAACTTTAGCTTTTTTACCTGTATAAAAGCGTTATTTCTTTATCACTTCTGCGCAAACATCGACCCACTAAGGAGGCAGTGTAATCCTTTACCGCCGCTCTGACTTACACGTCGCTGGCGTTAACGAATAAAGTGTTCAATCTGTAAATTCTTAATCGTACCACATACACCTAAGGCGATATTTGTTTGGTGCCTATTATGTAGCACCAATCAATATCCGTCAGAAATAGACCAAGTTCTAGCTTCCGCTTTGAATACCCTACTCACAAGGTTTTAGACTTACGTTCTCATTGTAGAGGCCTCTAACCAATATCTGAAGGTCACGGTTACTCGCAGGGAGCAATTGAAGTTGAAACTGCAAGAGCTACTCGCTTGTTCAACATTGTACAATCTTGCCACTTCTTCAATGCTTTTCTGGATAGGGTACAAACTGGCCATCTTAGATCTGGTGTCCACCAACGAGGAACTCACGGTTCATGTAGTAGGGACGGGTACTTCTTTGAGCCACAGCGATCAAGCGTCACTACTGTACCGCCAAATGTACTAGACAAAAGATCGTGAAGTATACACCCAAGAATCTTACTTCGGGACCAATTAGGATTACTTGTCTTACTCCTTTAGCACAACGACAGATCTTTCTAGGCCAAATGGTTCCCTGTAGTGCTCTATTGGGAGCACGTCAACCGGTCCAATGGGCACATCAAAAGACCAAAGCTATCGTTTGAAAAAGACCAATCCCTTCCTAAGGAACAGGAATCGGAAATTCATGGCATTGAGGGACCCACCTTGGCGCGCCTACGTACAATCTGGGAGCGTGGACACTTGGGCTTCTTAGATAACACACTGAACAAGTACGTCAGACTTATCCTTGAGAATAGAGTAAAATACCAACAAGCCCATATGGTGAGATTTTTCTCTTACCCCAAGATACTGTACAGACACGTAAACAGAATTCGTACAGATAGGCATAGAATCCCTGCTTTACACACAAAATGTGAGTTAGTGCAAACGACACAAGAGATCACCAACGCTCCTGGACAACACTTAACCCGTCCCATCCTAAATATCCTGTGATCTAACTCCTGCCTGCGCCGATCATAAAACCACGTATCCTTGCCGCCACAGATATATTAAAACGGCTGATGTTCTTGCATGAGTACGGCTGCTCAGGTGAGCATGATATTCGTTCATAGGCGCCGAAGTTGGCTAAAACGTGTTTAGCGTAACAATGGGCTAGGTTCTTCCAAAGATATGCTAATGAGATGCAGGTTCCGACTATGTGGAAGCAAGGAATGCTTAACGCAAGTTACCAGGGCAGTAGCCGACCACAATACTTCCAATGTTTTATAAGGTATTGGAGTCCGTTGTTTCCAAGACACTGATGGGGTACCTAGACAGCATCGACATTCCAGCTCCGGTGGAACACAGAGTTCGCCAAACTAAATCATGCATCATGAACCCACTGATAGCTCGTTCCCGCTGGATGGAGTTTGTCGATGATGGGGGGCAGTAGCTTCGGACTAACGCAACGTTAAAAAGCTAGTTGACCGTCTGGTTCATCGCATACAACCACACGAGCTTTAGAAGTATGAAATCCGTGGTCCACTTCATGGTTAAATGAAAAGGTTTCTTAAAAGGTCATGCGAAAGTGAGGTTTCTATCATCCTATCCGATCCAATCGGATTCTGGTGTGGCATACTCTAAGGCTCAGTACTCAATTCAAGCCTGTTTCTGGTATTCATAAACGATCGCGCAATGGAGCTTTCCCCAAATCTTCTACTATTCGCCGATAATTTAAAGATATAGCGCTCAATCTCTACAATGAGAGATCACATATCGCTACAAAGTGGTTTGGATTGAGTCAACGCGTGGTTCCCCGAGAACGTGCTCCAGTTCCACACAGCCAAGTGTAAAGTTCTGCGCATATGCCATCAAAGCACTCATGAATACCGGCTAAGGCTACAAATTCTGCAGAGCGGTTCTCATGAGAGTGATCTCGAATCGCTCAAGCATGATGACTGGCTGTTGGAGGCAGATCGAATGAGCATCAAAGAAAGCAAATTAGTATTTTGGCCTCTTGTGTAGGATGTTCAGGAAGTTATACAACACAGTCTTTCAGCCAATGCTTGGCGCGTACTTGAGGCCGCATATGAAAAACGCTACACAAGCACAGTGGTGCTGATTGAAACATTATCTTAGCGCACATGAGACCACACAATGCAAGGCACCAAAATCTTTAAGGGTTTATCCCCTCTCCCTACGAACTTAGGCTGGAAACTCTAATAGTGTGTAGCGGAAGTTAATGGCGTCTACGGAGCGATCTCACAATGGTGTATCAGATCCCGAGAAACCATAACCACGATTGATGCCATCTTTTGTTACTTAGCGAAAACTCATCCCTGAGAGACTATCAGTTTAAGCTGGCCAAGTAGTAAAGCCGACTGGAAAATTGATGGATTTTTCGAATCCTCGAGTGTCGCAGTCCTGGAATTGTTTCCCAGTGCCTGTAATTCATGCCCCCATCTTACCACTACTTAAACACGAGTTGACTACACACTGACACTACGTGATGTAGCAGCTGACTAGCAAATCACTGCATTGGTGCAGAAATAACAGTGAAATCTACCCAACTGACGTTAACTTCCAGGCAGCACTACTTACAGATATGCTACTGTAAACCTCTTGGTAACTTCTGCTACCTATGCAATTTATCCACATTGTTTTATTTTTGTAATCTTTAGCCGCTTCTTACTTCCTGCATTATTTGACAAACGAATTTTCGCAATCGGTTTTTCGCCCAATACCGACTAAGCTCATCAGCGCTATCATCTAGGTATTACAGGCTCCTGTTATTCACTCACCTATCTCGGATTCAAACAACAGAGACTCGTTTTGATGGATGTTTACAGCGCTCGGTTTCATGTCCAAAACGATGAAGTGCCTCGAATTTTCTCCCACATCGATCGAGTGGTTATGCTAATTTCCGAAAAGAGTAATACTGACGTGAGTAGTCCGTAGGATCTATATGACTTAGATAAAGTTCAATTGTGTGAACCAATCGAAGTTCATTCAGAATTAAGTCACTACCCAAATTAAGTTAGTTAGTAAAAACTAGTTGCAAGCACCAACTAATGTAGACAAGCAGCACTACAAAATAAATCTATGTCAGTTTCCACTGGTTGGGACAAGAGCTCCAAGTGTGTATCATTGGCACCGTTATAAGAATTTCGCCAAATACCCTCCACGTCCATGGCCCGATTCCCTCTTGCATTTGAGAGCCCAGTGGTGAATATCGACGTCAGCGTGGAAATCCCATCATGGTTTATTTAACACTGATGAGCCCAATTCACCCTTGTAGCAACCTGTTGCAGCTGAGCCGAAATACCAAACTGAGAGATCACCAGCTCAAACTAGCCATGAATTACACTTGATTTCACGGTCGACAAATCGCTTTCTTCCTCCGGTGTCCCGAATCTGGAACGCTCTTCCAACTGACGTCATTCGTGCCGCTACAGTAAGGCTTAAAAACGTCTTTATGACACTCTCACTTGCATTACTTGATATAGTTCGCTTTACTTGGAGGAAGAAGCCGTGTGCTTATCAGCCCTCTCGTAACGTGACCGTGACGATACACACATCGAGGTTCGTGGGAATAGCTTGCACGTACCTAAACTGGATTAACATATCACGTCTGTCAACTTAAACGGCACACGATCGAAAGCTGTCATGTACATCTTTGCTTTCTAACAGAGTACGTAAACTATGACTGCCCACTATTCCATTCCCATTTCAAACTATCGTTATGCAAGAGTGCAGTTGAATTGGTACACACTTAAAATGATGATTTGCTTACCCTTTGATCATTTTACTTTTAATTTTCACTACACTCATGCTACGAGACTTGTCAAGCATATGGTGTTTTTACCCGTGCTAAATCATTGTTCATTATTCAAATAAGTACGATATCCGTTACGGTGTGAAGTGCTGGTCGCGGAAACATCTAACCATTAGCTGCCTCAGTAACAGTTATAGTGATCGAAATTATGGAGGTTCAGTGTAGGGTAAATCGTAACCCGAGTTGCAATTTATTCTCGCAATCCAAATACGCAGCAGATGCTATCAAAGTAAGCGATGAAAAAACAACCGTTGTCAAAAGCTGATGTATATTTCGTTTGTTTACATGAGATTCATAGAAACACAGACTGCTCGTCGCCATGGCGAAGTTGGGTTATTCTTTATCTTCCTCTGCGGTATATACAATCATCATCTTCGGCTCAACAAAGAAATACATAAAGCGAGACATTGGGATAGAAACGGCGGAAGGACGGTACATCCAAAAAGGACGTAGACTTGCGATAAGTTGAGCGTTTCGAACAACAATAAAATAAATAAACAGCCCAGGGCATGACAACAAGTAGCTATGAATTTGGTCAAGGTGGATATCAAGAAGTGCATCGGGAAACGAATATGTATACAAAAATTATAGAGCCGGAACCATAGTTGTCTTAGCTGCTTAGCCAAGGGTTATTTACCAGCCAAGCTCAGTACTTCGTCAGGCATTGCGTGTTGTGTGCCGATAACCCAACGAGCGTTCCTTTGAGGAGTCGAAGAAAGATGTTAGTGTTCATGGTGCAACCTGGCTCTCTTGGACTATCATGCGAGCGTGACAACTGCCAAAGCGCACGAGCACAACAAGGGTGAATTACGTGAACATATGCGATCCATCCTTCAGAATGATTTCTTTTCGAGTAAAACGGCGAAGTATTTCCCACAGTAATTAAAGCACTATATGAATTGTGTTTCCTTTCTAGACCCAACTGGGAACTACAGTTATTGGACAGATAAATACTGAGGAACCGGGTAATAATGACTCTGTGATCGACGACGAGTCATTATGCAGCGCAGTTTGACGGATCGAGGTAATGTAAGGAACATGGTCTTCGTAGTTTCTGTTGATTAGTAAGATTATGGACAGCAGTAATTTTATGTTTGGTCCGGCATGGGGTTTACTGTTGTAAAATGGTAAGCTTGTTTTCAGCTGCAATTCCCTCTGCGTATGAACAATGAGGAGTTCACAGGTTAGCTTAAGAGTTCTTCGATTAATCGGTGCAGGTGCCAAGTAGCCATATGTTTGTGAAAGTAAAACGCGTTAAAGTTCACAAAGCTTCTAATGCGTACATTTAAGTGTAGTCAAACCCGGCTAAAGCGACGACTCAAGGGACCGATAAATGTGGTCGCCTTGGACAGCTGGTCGCCATAGACAGGTTCATGCAGATGAACATTACTCGTAGAAGAAAATCTTGGGGATGTTTTCGGCTGGTCGCCATAGACAAGTGGTCGCCAAAGCAGGTTGGACTGTACCTCATTCGTCGCCATGAAGGAGATACATGTAAGTCAAATACTACGTACACGATACCTTTTAAAAGCCTTCACTCTATTCGAAAATGTGTTGCTCTGTATTCATTTATACCACATTTCAGGGTTTACTGTCTGTGGCAGCATTATTTCCTATAGGAGTAGTGTTCCATATACGGCAGTGCGACGATGTTAGATTAGTATTGGTACACCACGTAGTCGGCCGAGAGTCGTTTGTCTTGTATTCCGAAGGACGCCGATTTAACCCTACTTACGTGTGGACTATCTCGCTGGGGATATCCAGCCCCCATGCAACCGGTGGTAGTCGCGTGGCAGCGAGGCGCCGGTACAGTGTACTGGCTTACCACTGCTGCATTTGCACCCCTTCACATGTGTTACGTTAGATCTCATGCCCTTGTATCGTCGATTGTTTTCCCTTCCCACCTAATGGCACAACGCGTTCCGAGTTTATTAAGCACCCATGTTCGCACGCTTAATATATTGTGGTCTCGGCCAACCGCCATGAGTTACCTTCACAAATATCGCTCTACCGTATTCAACGTCATCAACAGAAGTTGCTGGCATAACAAGGCTTCAGTGACACGTTCACTACTAGCACCTTGGGCTGTTGCAACAGGGTAGCAAAACTGAGCACGCATCTTCGTGCGCCCTCATGCATTTTTTGGTTGACCTGCATTCACATAAATTAAAGGTTTACCAACTACTAGTGGCTATAACTAGTAGCATCTCTTCGGCTGAAGTAACCATTCGCAGCCCGACCTCAATCAGGTGGATAACAAGTAAATTTTTCTCACTAGGACCCCATCTCTTGACAAACTACGCGGCGTCTGCTTCAGTAGCTGCGGCTACGGTCCCAATGATCGCAGTGACCAAGGTTCACTTCCATGTGAATTGCGGTCCACATTGTGATTGCGTGTGGCAATCCATTTATACAACGAGTACTTCAAAATGACTCTCCAATCAGTCACGGCACACTTTTCCTTGTGAACGATATGAACAAATAATCTTCTTTATACTCCTTCTGTACAAATTGATCGTACTGTGTCTAATTCTAACAAAAACATATGTAATTACTGGCTTTGCCTGTCAAATGGTAAAGTTTCTGCGCATGCACGTTCGGACAAGAGCAATACGGTCTGTACAAAACCGAGTGAATACATAGCCGAGACCAGAAGTGGTCAAGAAGTCAGTACCAAAAGTGGAAGCATAAGGTTTCAACTAGAGGATCATAACCGCCAGATCACTTGCTGCTAAAGGTGGGTCAGAAACAAGATCATGCAATTTTCCAATACCATTAGCAATTGTTGCATTTATATCGATGGCTGGCTTGGCTACATTTAAGGTTCAGAGGTAGTGGTATCATGAGCACCAGCAGGCAGAACCGGGAGATAGATAGCAGGCAAAATGCGTGAGTGATCCTTGAAATAAAACTGCTGTAGGCAAGGTCATAAGGTACTCTATGTAGCCAACCATCAACTGGTAGTTGCGGCCGGCAGGCGTACAACGCACCGCCTATGTGCGTCGAAGGATGTTTGTAGTAAACTGAGATTGTGGCATAAGCACAGCAGATCTGGGATTTCAATACTTCTACCCAGTCCCGAATGTGATAAAGCACCGAACCACTAAATTTTTAAACAAGTGGTTCCTGCGAAAACTGCACTTAATGGAAAGGTGATTTGCACTCAGCAAGCGTGCAATTCATGCCTCATAAAATTGCAGATCCTCACACGTGTGAGCTGAGATAAACACCTTGGGTCGACCAAATGCTCCCTTCTGATTAATTCTGATAGAGTTACATTTCGATGGGAATCACCTGACAGGTAGAATCAAGGGAGAGAAAGAGACTCTTTAAGTGGACGAATTTTTGCTTTAGAAAATGGATTTTCAGGCTGGATGCTCTAGGGTGTTAGTGTTTAGCATTCAAGAAATATAGTCCAAGAAAGCATACCAACCGTGTGCTCACACCAAATAGAGACCGACGATGTCAACTAATCCGAGAATCGAAGGTTGCGTGTTCTGGCCGCTTCGGTGTCACTACTTTAAAGAGTTAGCAAATATTAGTCCGATCCGGTGCGCTTAATAGATCGCAGATATCAGAAGGTAAACGAACTCGGATACAGCGGACTATCTTGTAGGGGATACAAGAAGACGTGGACGGATGAAGTTAAACAGGAGCGAACGTCCACACAGTGACTCACCGAGCAGGCGCGTGCGAAAGGATAGAAACGGAAGGCGAGGAGCAGTAAAGCAAGGGTGAACGGTATATGATAGATCAGTGATAACCTTGTACGTAAAAGATAAGTTGTCTTTTGGGAAGTGCCAAATCCTTAAGCTGCTTGTGATATTTTGGGAAAGATGTCCTTGGTGAAACCCTCAGGCTAGCCGATCATTACCTGACTGTAAATTGAAATACTATGCTTCGTACCATAACTACCTTAAACCTCTCTTTAGTAAGACGCTGGTGACCTACGTCCAGACTTTAAGAGACCAAGCAGCTAGTGGTCTGTACTTTGCTAAATTGGTTTCCATAATTCCAACAGCAAGTAGGTAGTTCAAGGTGCCACTGGATAAAACCAGGTAATACGCAGACCCCAGTAGACGAACCTTTCTTATGATGATATAACTTCACATGCCACATCATAAGACATACACAGGTTGCACTGCAACATCTTACCTGATAAGGTTGGTGGGCAGGATCATTTTCAGTGGCTTGTCATCAAATTACTTTTACATCAATGAAAGGCATGAAGGAAAACATGAGGTAAAAGCACATGTTCGATTGCCTTTACTGTTTGGGCAACTAGGCTACGTGACTGGTCCTCATCAGCGATTGCAAATATATAGCTGGTGTTATCTACATAATGTGCTGATGCAGCAGGAGACCAGGATAAACTGAGTGACTAGACAAATTTTTATGCGCTTATAGACCCTATTTAAGAAGTAGAATGGCGACCGCTTCGGCTGATGATCGTGTGTTACGTCTAGGTACGCTTCTTCATTGAGTTCAAGTTGTAGAGGTCAGAGAGAGTTCTCATGTTACCTCCATCACCTCCGGGTCAGAAGAGGAGCATGTCCTAGTGGGCTGGAGCAATCGCAGTAGAACTGTGTAATCCTGATATCCTACACAAGTGGGAATCTAAGAGCTGCTCGCAACGTTCCTCAGACTATGCACTAATAAAGTTCTCCGGAAAGCGGTTTCAGTCGTCTATCACCCGGGTGAATAGGGCGACAGCAGTGTGAACCTGGATTCTCCTCGGTTTAATGAGTTTCAAATCGTGAGCTCGTGTCGAACCTCCTGTACTGGGCTGGAAAAACTGTTGTAGTTCGTTTCCAAGTCCCGCCCTTAGTATGCGCCTGGTGAAGATGAGGTCCCCGCGGCGGCGACGGTAGTCCAGAGAGAAAAGGTTCATCTGTTGGAGCCGAAGGGGGTAGGAGAGGTTTTGAAGTCCAAAATTCGAGTCACGTCTTTTGACCTTTTTAATCAGGGTACGTTCCAGTTATGAGAGTGGAAAGACAGCTGGTAAGCCATACTCGATGATTGGGCGTACGTGAGAAATAAAAAGAGTCTCGAAGATATCCGGTGTTATTCGGGAGAATTCCATTCCTATGGCGCAGCATACCCTGTTAGCAGCGGCCACTCTCATCAGCGTATCCTGGGTAGTCTGTAGGTTAGAGGCAATTATTGCACCTAAGTCTTTCTCTTGAGCAGCATCCTTGAGAAGGAAACCAGCAATATGGCAGGTATCGAGTGACTCAGAGGCACCTATTAGAAGGACGCAGCATTTTTCATAATTGATGGGTAAGTCCCATTTGATGGACCACTGGTGCAGTACATCTATCAAGTCCTGTAGTCTATCAGCGGCATCAAGGTCGAGTACCTCAGACCATAACTTAAGATCATCTGCATAGACAAGACAATCACTTTGAAGTAATCCAGGGAGGTCGTTAATGAAGAGCTTAAAAAGTTCAGACCCAAGTACAGAACCTTGGGGAACACCACCAGTCATGTGCACTGTCTGAGAAAGTGTCTCGTTTACCTCCA